CACGGCGGGAAGTTAGTAATTTGGATACGTAACTATCCTCATTTATTTTTAGGCTCGAATATATGCTTGGTTGTTACATTCTAACAATATTTTTTTCAGAATGTGCACATTAAGATGCTTGTCAAAATTACAGTTGTTTGTAATAAAACGTTTCGTAAGCCCCGTTAATGTCACATTTTTGTGTCTGATATCATACCTGTCCACTGAATCTTTTATTTAATTTTTCTGTTGTGCAACCCACGAAAATCAAGTGATGTTTGGTAAATTGAGCGTCGTATATTAAATGGGAATCAGTACTATTGCAACCCTCTGTAGAAATCGTGATGTTTCTCTTTGAATTTGTGATAGAATTGTCTTGAATCATGTTATTGAAGAACGAATGTGTTTTTCTCCTTCTGCGAGTTTTTTTTTCTCGTGAGTACAACGAGCCGAAACTCCAATGATTTGAGTGTGGACACTTACATTTGTTAAAATTTGTCTGACGTTTTACATCATTTTACACCAGGTCAAAACACCGAAAAACACAATAAAAATTACGACAAAATTCCATTAGTCATCAAATGGCACCGAAATGTTGCAGGAATTTCGAAAATACAACACGAAGCTACGGACACTTTGCGCAAAAATATCCACGTTTTTTAAAAAAAAATTCCCAACCTGTCTGTTGTCTCTTTCAAATGAAATAAAAACAAATGTAAGCGTCGAACATAAAATCAAAAATATTGTTTAACATTATCAAACACTGTGTTTTTTTCTTTTCTTTTGTTAAATCACGCTCTTAAGTGTTGGAAAATATTGGTAAGAGTTATGTCATTTATTTTGTTTACTATTATTATTTGGGTGCAAAGTTCACATTTCATTATCGTCGATTTGTCAAGGAGGTGACTTCTAAATATCTGCTGAGGACATCGTCAGGAAAAACCATAATACGAGTTGACCCAAGCTTTGGAGGTGAAACTGGGTAGACTAAATATAAGGAAGCCATCGGTGGTTGTGTTGCCACGAAAGTACAAGTCATCGTGACGGAGAGTTTGAGCGTACTAGCCTTCTTCAAACTGATGATGTTGCCAGTTGTCGCTGTCACCAAAAACTAAAAACGAAGAACCTGCAATGTTATTGGTTCTGACCTGGCATCTCAGGTTCAGTCACTTTCCAACTGCTTACCCGTACCTTTTCTATAAACATTTTATACTTATTGTTCTGGCGAGCGTTCCGCTTTGGTAGCTAGAATTTATGAATTTAAGTACAATCCTAGATTCTGGCCCCTTGCTTTCCAGTCAAATTTCATCTTCAAAAATTTAAATGCAATATCAATCATTATGTTCTGCCTTATTAATTCCTGTTCTTTCATTGTTCTTCTGCCTTAATAATGTTTTCTTTTTTTCATATTCTTTCATACTCACTAACCCCTTGCGTCTTAGTGGTTTTATTGCCCTGCTTGTAGTGAAATGATTACAAACAACAAGAGTCTACTCACAACAGTTGCAGTGTGAGCCACAAGTTGACTATATTTATGTTGAAGACGGACATACGCCTGTGCAGGCGTTTGTAGTAGGGATTAGTTAACCACCCTAGCAGTTGGGCAGATAAGAGGCCAGTCATTTACTTATTATTTAAAAATTATCATTATTATTATCATTTCCATTGATTTCCGTTTCCTTCCGGGTCCCAACCAGAGACCTAAGGTCAGAAATAGTTTCATGACATTTTCCACTGATCATTTTTATAATCCCCGCTAAAAAACTAACACCCTTTTACATAGATAAAGTTCTTCCTACTGTGTGAACTGTACTTGTAAGTACAATTTTTTTGTATTTCTTTAAGGTATGGGCTGTCAGAAATCCCTTTAGTGAGTCTATCGGAATATTTTCGAATCAATCCGTTGGCTCCAAATACAACTCGAATTATTGATCTCTTGTGCCACAATTTTCAAATTTCTACATCAACATCCATGTATTTTGATAGTTTTTTGTAGCTCTTCAAAAATACATTGCAGCTTCACTTTTTTTTGGCAGGTAGTGTTTCTTATTGTTTTGCACACTTTTTTCTTTATTTTTACATTCAGAATGCTTTACAAATTCCATACAGGAACTGCCATGTCAATAATAAAGCACATTCCGTTTTTGTGGTTTTTGATCACGATGTCTGGGCAACTCGCTTTCATTGTTCTGTGTAAAGTTCTATAAAATTGTTATAGGTTCTGTTTCTGGAACTGGGTCTGGGTAATGTTAATACCAGTTTCTTACAGTTTCCTTTCCGTAAAAGTTTCAGATTTTCCTCATTAATTATTATTATTCATAAGGCATTTGCATAATCACGTCAGATGTTTGGTGGTTATCTCTGAAGATCAAGTCCTCAAACTGCCAGTACATTTCTCACTAATACGGTAGTTGCAATAGCAGCTGTCGCATAAATCAGCGTTATTTGTTACCTCCCTTTGGTAGTTTTTAGTGCATGATAAATTTAGTTTAGGAACCAGTAACAAACTTTTATCAAACAATTTTGGTACGGTTTTGTATATTTACTATAAATGTGCGCGATAGAAAAATTTACCATGGGAAAATGGGCGATGACACAAAAAATGTTAGGAACACCTGACTTAAGAGAGATTGTAAATCATGTGAAGAGTTAAACCTATTTTATCTTATCCCGTACTATTGCCACATGGACACAAGTAAACCAACCATTACAGGCGCAAACTTAAACGTTCAACACTTTTCTAAGCCTCCGCTTTTTATCTAATTTTGTTTCTTTTTTATCAGCTTTGTGTTCCCTGGCGTCAGTTACTATTATGTTTTATGTATGCTCACACTAGATGCTAGAGATTGAGTGGGAGTAAGTCTTCGAAAACTTGCATATTTTTTTCAGTATCCACAGCGTTCTCAGTAATACCGTCGTCTGGATGGGTTCGATTCTTTTGCTTAGATTTTACTCGGCTTTTTAGGACATTTACACGTGTACTCCAAAAAATAATGGCACCATTATCAAATACATGATGCATATTTTTCCATTTTTCTCAAGATCTACATATTTGTCCAGTTTTTCGTTTTCTTCAGTTTTAGTAGACACAAAAAAAATAATAATTAATATTTTGATACATTTTCTTTGATTACGCAATCTGTTTTTGTTAATTAGAAATTTTGATCCGTTTAAATTTCAGTGTTTGACGGCTTTTCATCGTTTCATATTATTATTATTATTATTATTCACTGAGTTGCAATAACAGTATTATTTTGCAGGAGTCTATTGTTCATTCACTATCATATCCAGCCACTAAATCTATATGCATTAACATTAATGTCCTTGCAATTTTATCCCAAATCGAGTCGATTTATATATTATCCTGTTTGGGAAGGGTCTTGAATATATTACGGCTGATAGCGCTCAAATATATATACCTTTGATCATACTTCTGATTTTTCTGATTTACAAAACCTTCCTTTTTTTCTCCTGTTATATTCCTATGTTCCTACGTTTACATGGATCTGTTCACGGTATTCCACTCAATGAGTATTTATACCATTAGTAAATAATGGGTTATAATATTTATTACGTGTGAGCAATAGTCTTACTATTCTCCCTGTTTCCGGTAACGTCGCTGAGGGTTGTGATTCCACCCTTCCCCGATTCCCAGTATCTACAGCTTTTTCCTTCGACGCAGTTTCCGAACTGCCTAAAATAGCCGGCTCAACTGTCATCTTTATATACTATGACTCGTTGGTAAAGTTGATATAACTCCATTAGGAAGGGGCAAGCAGAATTATAATAAGATTAATATTTGTTGCTGTATGGTGATGGCCATCGATGAAGCTTTGCTAATTTCGTCCGGATTTGCGACGTAAATTCATCTGGATTTGCGACGTAAATTCATCCGGATTTGCGAGTATCTTTAAATTGCAGTGCACTCGCGATTATACGTAGCGATTTTACAAGTTTTTGAAACTCTCTACACACGCTTTTATTATTACTATTGTTTTTAAGAACGGACATGTTAAGAGTATATATTAACATATAATATATACAAATTATTATTTGTGAGTGCTTGTGATTCTCTATATTAAATCTAAGCAAGCTCCCTTCTATAAGCAGAAGGGTTGGTTGCAAGATATTAATGTAATCTGTTTTTAACTCATGGAGCTAATTGCCTGGTAATAATTTTCTTCCACTCTAATTCCAGTCATTGTGAAAAAGATGTTTTCTCAGATGAGTTTGAAGAGCGTGGAGAGATTACCGGACAGCATTTTTTATGGTTTTTTTTTTTCGTAATTTTTCAATTCACCATAACATAGTAACCTATTCTTAATGTCATTCCTCGCTCAGTTTTAATATATTTGTATATATGAGTAAATATATACTTTTTAAAATGCCTGTTTTTAAAGCCCTAATAAAGTTTTGACACACGCATAAATTATTATTGTTCTTGTTGCTGCTGCTGGCAATGGTGATGAAGGTGGTCCGGTTGTGAAAAACGTCCATTTTTTTAATGGGACACTTAATCTTCTTCCTATCGATATTAGAGAAGCTGTATAGACGGTTCATTATAGCGTTGATGATGTAGCGATTATGATAAACAGTTTTAATCAGGTGGGTTGAAGATGCATTGTGTGATGAATTTAATGGAGGTCAATGTAATTCATGAACGCGAAATATCGTCTTGTCGTGATGGAATATAATATGGAGAGTGAAATAGGCAAAATGTAATTTTTCGTCAGATTGATATTACGACATGACCTTGGGTTTGATTAAGACGGGAGGATTAAGTGATAACCCGGGGACTAAGACGAACGAAGAAGAAAGCGAAAAGAGAAAAAGAATAAATAATGGAAGAAAGGCAAGAATTTAAGCACTTGGAAAAAGAAAGACAGACAGATAGAAAGGCATAAGATCAAGAACTTGGAAGAAAAAAAAGAAAGAAAGAAAGAAAGAAAGAAAGAAAGAAAGAAAGAAAGAAAGAAATGCATGAGTTTAAGCTGTTGAAAGAAAAAAACGCGGTTAAGCATTCAAAAGAAAGAAAGAAAGAATGAAAAAAAGAAATGAAGAAAGAAAGAAAGGAAATCAAGCAAGAAAGAAAGAAAGAAAGAAAGAAAGAAAGAAAAAAGAAAGAAAGAAAAAAGAAAGAAAGAAAAACATGAGTTTAAGCTCTTGAAAGAAAGACACGCGGTTAAGCACTCGAAAGAAAGAAAGAAAGAAATAATGAAAAAAAGAAATGAAGAAAGAAAGAAAGGAAAGAAAGCAACCAAGAAAGAAAGAAAGAAAGAAATAAAGAAAGAAAGAAAGAAAGAAAGAAAGAAAGAAAGGCATGAGTTTAAGCTCTTGAAAAAAAGACATGCGGTTAAACGCTCGAAAAAAAGAATGAAAGAAATGATGAAAAAAAGAAATGAAGAAAGAAAGAAAGGAAATCAAGCAAGCAAGCAAGAAAGAAAGAAAGAAAGAAAGAAAGAAAAGCATGAGTTTAAGCTCTTGAAAGAAAGACACGCGGTTAAGCACACGAATGAAAGAAAGAAAGAAATAATGAAAAAAAGAAATGAAGAAAGAAAGAAAGGAAATCAAGCAAGAAAGAAAGAAAGAAAGAAAGAAAGAAAGAAAAGAAAGAAAAGCATGAGTTTAAGTTCTTGAAAGAAAGACACGCGGTTAAGCACTCGAAAGAAAGAAAGAAAGAAAGAAAGAATGAAAAAAAGAAATGAAGAAAGGAAAGAAAGCAAGCAAGCAAGAAAGAAAGAAAGAAAGAAAGAAAGAAAGAAAGAAAGAAAGGCATGAGTTTAAGCTCTTGAAAGAAAGACACGCGGTTAAGCACTCGAATGAAAGAAAGAAAGAAAGAATGAAAAAAAGAAATGAAGAAAGAAAGAAAGGAAATCAAGCAAGCAAGAAAGAAAGAAAGAAAGAAAGAAAGAAAGAAAAGAAAGAAAAGCATGAGTTTAAGCTCTTGAAAGAAAGACACGCGGTTAAACACTCGAATGAAAGAAAGAAAGAAAGAATGAAAAAAAGAAATGAAGAAAGAAAGAAAGGAAATCAAGCAAGCAAGAAAGAAAGAAAGAAAGAAAGAAAGAAAGAAAGAAAGAAAGAAAGAAAGAAAGGCATGAGTTTAAGCTCTTGAAAAAAAGACATGCGGTTAAAAGCTCGAAAAAAAGAATGAAAGAAATAATGAAAAAAAGAAATGAAGAATGAAAGAAAGGAAATCAAGCAAGAAAAAAAGAAAGAAAGAAAGAAAGAAAGAAAAAAGAAAGAAAAGCATGAGTTTAAGCTCTTGAAAGAAAGACACGCGGTTAAGCACTCGAAAGAAAGAAAGAAAGAAATAATGAAAAAAAGAAATGAAGAAAGAAAGAAAGGAAAGAAAGCAAGCAAGCAAGCAAGCAAAAAAGAAAGGCCTTAGTTTAAGCTCTTGAAAGAAAGAAAGATACGCGGTTAAGCACTCTAAAGAAAGAAAGAAATAACGAAAAAAAGAAATGAATAAAGAAAGAAAGAAAAAGGAAAGAAGAAAGAAAGGGGAAAAGGAACAAAGAAAAGAAGAAAGAACGAAAGGAAGAACGAAACGCCTGAGTTCAAGCTCTTGAGACTAGGAAGAAAGACATGAGCTTAAGTACTTCATAAAACAAATAAATAGAGACAAACTGAAAGATACGCGGTTAATGACATGAAAGAAAGAAAGGAATATATTTAAGCACTTGAAAAAGAAAAAAAAAAAAAAAAAAAAGAAAGGCATGTTTAAGCTCCCGAAAGAAAGAAAGAAATGAAGAAAGGAAGGAAAAAGAAAGAAAGGCATGAGTTTAAACTCCTGAAAGGAAGGAAGAAAGAATGGAATGAAGAAAGGAAGGCATGATTTCAAGCTCTTGAAAGAAAGAAAGTCACACGTTTAAGCACTTGAAAAAAGGAAAGGAACGAGAAAAAAATGAAAGAAGGAGAAGTGGAAAGGACAGAAACATTAGAGAAGAGAGATCAAAATGCAACTAAATAGTAAATGGAAAGGGATAAGAAAAGAACCAAAAAACTGAATTAAAAGAATGATTTTAACCAAATTAGAATGAAAAGAACAAAAATTCGGACAATTCATAAGAAATTAGACACGAATGAAAACATTAACAATTCAAAAGAATCCGAAAATATTAATAATTTGAAACTAAGGTAAAGAAAAAACACGAAATAAGTAAGAAAATGAATACTGTTATTAATACTACTACTAATAAAAATAAGAATAAGAACAAGAAAATTAAAAAGAAGAGAAGAAAAATAAAAGGTAAATGTTAAGTGATTAACGCAAGAAGCAGAAATTATGGTGTTAATGACTGATTGAAAATTGAAGTGGTAAATGTGGACGTAACAAGAAAATGAAAAAGGCCAAGCAAAAAAATGACGAAAAAAAACAAAAACCAGAAGAGAGTGGGATTTAAATCAAAAGAAAGGTGGGTGGGAAAAAGAAAAAATGATGATGACAGAACAAAAGATATAGAAATGAACACGAAAGAATAGAGGGAAAAATAGAGATAAAAATTGCCACTTAGAATGTAAGAGGGATAAAAAACGAAACAAAAAATTAAAAAGATAAAAGAAACAAAAAAGGAAAAAGAAAAGAAGGAAAAGAAACAAGAAAAAAGATATAAGAAAGAAAGAGACAGATAAATGAAAAAGAGACAGATAAAGAAAGCAACAGAAAAAAACAAAGGCGAAAAGAAAAAAGAAAGAAAAAGAGAGACAGAAAAAAGAAGAAAGAAAAAAATACAGACGTATTCAGAGCGTAGAATGTTCAATATTAAGATAGAATGATAACAATTTATATTGATATATTCAAAAATGGATTATATATAATCAATAAATATGTTGTAAACAACAACATATTGGGAAAACCTGCAGAAATAAAAAAAAAGTATCTATGAACACAAAAATAAATAAATCAAAATATTCAACAGCAATTACATTTACTCACTTTCGTTCATTAGATATTGAACATTAAATTACTTCACTTAGCATCTCCCATAATTTATCTTGCCTTTCAGTTAGCCTAATGTATATTTATGAGTGTACTTAAATTTACAAATTCCGATAAACTAACGACATTTTTACTGCTGTTCATATAAACATTTTGCAAACTAAAATCCTTACATTGATAAAGTTCAAGAGACAGAGAAATGCGTCATTTTTACTGCTGTTCATATAAACATTTTGCAAACTAAAATCCTTACATAATGTCAGAGAGAGAGAGAGAGAGAGAGAGAGAGAGAGAGAGAGAGAGAGAGAGAGACGCGTCATTTTCATGTAGATAGGTTTTCCTTTCGTCTTTATTCAACAGGCATATTTTTAGAAATATCTGAAATTTAAAATATAAGCATGGGAGATAATCTTTTGGCTAGTTTAAATATTAAACCATTATACACATTATACAGTCTTCTTCTAAAGAAACGACAAGCAAAATAAAATAAACTTCCTCCTACAGATAGACAAAATAATAATGACTTATTAAAAATCAAAACTAATTCAGATTCGATAACAATATTTATAGGCACAAAGTATGATTAACTATGGGATCACCTCTTAGTGGTTTTTAATCTGCCCTTTGTTAGAATTCAATATTTCACGTAAGAATCAATATATTTCCGTAATATTGATGATGGTTTATTAATATATCCCCGAAAACAATATGACTTGATCTTGTAATTAAAGGAAACATTGAACGTACACATGAATTTACTTATGAAACAGAAACAAATAATCTATAATGCTTCCACCAATGGTACAATCGTCTCATGAAGTGCATAGATTCATAAAGGGAAACCTTTATAGGTTAAGCCAGATATTAGTGATGAGGTAAGAAATTTTTGCTTCAGCAAGGCGATTACGTAAATTAAATGGCCGCTTTTAGCGCATATCATATTTTAAATCAATTTATTTATAATATTAATGCTCTGTAAATTTACATTGAGCACTATTTTGTAAAAATAAAAATATCTATAAGAACACCGGATTATATATCTTACTGTTCTTTCTTTTTATTTACACATACATACACACACAAACACAAACACACACACACACACACACACACACACACACACACACACACACACACACACACACACACATATATATATATATATATATATATATATATATATATTATGTTCTGGAGTTTCAACTCCTGTATGACCATCCTGGTAGAGGAAGATCGACTAGACTGAACTAGACCAATCCTAGAAGACCCCCAACGAAGGAATAGACAAAGATCTCAACAGCAAAACCAGCGGAAGAGGGCAGCGCAAGTCGGGCTGGCGTAACTAATGGACCTTCATAGACCAAGCATCCGGCAGCGCGATACAAGATTTGCCAGACCTTTCCTGTCTCAAACCCCTTTGAGTCGCCAGAGAGGCGCTTTTGGCCAATTGTATGGACTTTTCCGTTGCACCAAATCAATTTTACACGAATGGTCTCGTAAAACTCATTTTGATTCACAGACATCTCAGTCACCGCTAACCAAGGGGAGAAAGGGAATAGCATGAGAGGATCGCGATGCTCGGATGTGAGCAGGTGACGACGAAGAACATATATATATATATATATATATATATATATATATATATATATATATATATATATATATATATATATATATAGGTGAAATTCTATAAAGGTCTGTACAAGAACTTGCTGTATAGAGAAGATAATAAGATTCGGAAAATCACCAAATGTTTTTTATATGCTTATATGTAATATTTATAATATAGGTATGTTGACAGAGAATTATTAAAATTAAAATTGTATTACTTCCATGTGGATTTACAGTGAAAACCGTATTACTTACTTTCGTTTTCAACTTATGCCTAAAATAAAAAGGGGCGTAACTGGTTTTATACGTCGCTTATGGCAAGTAAAATATGACAGAATCTATTGAGGGCGTGCCTCTGGTTTAAGCCATGAATTCAGTTTTGTTTTAAAATTGCTTATAACATATCTCTCTCTCTCTCTCTCTCTCTGTATATATATATATATATATATATATATATATATATATATATATATATATAAAACTAGAAGTTCTCATATCCGAATTTCTCAATGTTGCCATTTAGATGTTGTAAGAATATGCTACATACTATTTTTTTTCTTTTCTTTGCAGATAATTATTCGTAACTTGAAATTCCTAAACCCATAATGTCTCGCATAGAAGAAACTTCAACTGGTAGAAAAAGGAATTATTTCACGTTACGTCAGAAATTAGAGATTATTGAAAAACAGGACGAAGCACCTAATTCGTTGAATATGCAAATTAAACAAGGATTGCAGAATCTGAACGAAACCCAAAAACTTGCGCTCGAATGTGGTCGACTGAACACTCTCGCTTGGGGTGACTTAAAAGAATGGATAAATGAAGATGGTAATGAATTTTAAAAGAATTAAACGGTAGAATCGTTTTAAAATGATTTGGATTGCAAGAAATAAGGAAGAATCAAATACTTCCGATAATAGTGAAAATATGAAGGATGATAAAGAAGACTTGGACTCAGTAGATAAAGCTATTGACGAGGTCATCAAATTCATGGAGAAAAAAAAAACCTTTGTTCAGTAATACAGAATATACAAGAGCATGTAATTTCAAGAAATGCCTTACTTTAAAAAAAACTAGAACAGCGAAAATTAAACGAAATGAGTAAAGAAATAAGAAAGACAATTGAAAATAAAACTTACTGAGTACTGAACATTGCAAAATAATATTTACTTTCGTGAGACACTTAATTTTTCTTGTGTTTTTTAAAGTTATAGTTATATTAAACATGTCACATTATATCGGAACCCGTCCTCATATCCAAACTACACTGAAATCCGGATATGACGAATTCTAATATATATATATATATATATATATATATATATATATATATATATATATATATATATATATATATACCGGTGTAACAGCAAAATTTTTCCAATCGTGTAACAGCATAATTGTTCATCCCCAAAATGTTTAATATCTATAAAAACACTAAACTAATTTTAGAGTAATAGTGTGAGGTAAACGCTTCTAGAAGTCACAGTTACGAACACGTAAACTCTGAGGAAGTCCTACTTCGTGACTGAATTTACCAAACTGTATATATATTATTATTGCTACCAACCACGTTTCTGGATCTACTAACCGTATTACCAACTGTATTATTGTGTAAATACATTTATTGTTATGTTTCATTCCTGTGTTTGTTATTCATTTGAGACCGGATTTCATCTCGGAATTCACAAGAGAAAGTATTTATAGAAAAGACACAGGGAGACAAAGGCGGAAGGAAAGTGACTGAAGCCGAGCCGCCAGATCAGGACCAATAATATTGCTGAATCTTCTTTGGATCTTACCAAGGAGCTCAAGGTAAATAGCAGGAACACCGGACCATATGTGGTAGCAATAAGAGAGAGAGAGAGAGAGAGAGAGAGAGAGAGAGAGAGAGACACATCTAATTTTTTTTTGTTCCCCTATGCTATATCTGTACCTATGGGAATATAAGTTTGAAGCCTATGCATCATTGCTTTAAAAATATCCTGTATACATTTACTTATAATGAATAGATTGTGTCTGCGTGTCAAGAATTTAGGCGATACGTTCCTCAGAAGTGAATTAGGTTTTAGGTTGATGGTGTGCAGAGTTCTATAAAGACATTTATTCTGAAAACGAGAGGTGTATTAGAAAACAGACAAAGTTAATCGAAATAGTAAAGGAAAGAAATAATAATGTCCAGATTGCTTAAAGTATCAACAAAAATAACTTAAGCGATAAACATTACAGAAAATAAACCCGAGCAGTAAAGTATATACTGAATAGGAAATCAATTGAATAGTTTCGTTTATTTAATAGTTTCTGTTATTTATATAGTAAATAAAATAATAATTAAAGGTATATTAGCACACACACATACATTACACACACACACACATACACATATATACTAGCAGCATGGCCCTGCGTTGCCCGTGCTTGATTCAAAAATCGTACGACTCATACAGCAATCGCTATCACTTGACTTAAAATATTTTTGTCCTTCCTTGCCTTTAAAGGAGTGCCCTTTGCCGTGTTGATGTTGCTACATGCCTTACTTCTTGCCTATCTCAAACTGCGAATTTTTTCTAAGCTCTATACTAAACATTAAATCCGTTACGAAAAAAGAACTAAACAAAATGAACGCAAAACGATCAGCTTTAAAAAATGGACTCGTAACTGGAAAAACCGAATAAAAAAAAGAATGTTAACAACAAATACTTTTTCACACCCAACCCAGTTCTGCGGAATCAGAATCAACGTTGAGTTTAAGCAAGCGAATGAGCCAATTGGAGTAAAGTGCCATGCAGATTTAAATTTTTCCCACTTGTGACGAATGCAGCTATCGATTTTTTTTGTATGCTAGTTAATATTCGTGTCAGTCAGCTGTTGACTCTCACGCTGGCCAATAGAATCATCCTGCCTATTCGTGGCAGCCAGTTATTGGCTCTCACTCTGGCCAGTACAAAATGGCCGCAAACTAAATGAAAACTGCCGTAGAAGCATGAAAAATCGATTATTTCCACTATCGATGGGAGTTGGGAAATGCAAAGTCGGTCTTGGCCTTCCCGCTACCTTGGAGCATGTGCATGTAAATTTTGGTGCAAATCTATCGAAAATTGCGGCTATCCATTCGTTACACACACACACAGACACATTCTGCCATATATATATATATATATATATATATATATATATATATAATGAAGTTAGTTGGTATATAATTCAATTGGATCCTAGTAATAAAAAATATTAAAACTGATCCACAAAGATCTCAAAGTATTTATTATTACGGAGCAAATTTATTGCACCATAAAATCCAAAATTACCTCATATGGGAAAGAGACCTATTTCAACCGACGGAAACTTCGTCAGTCTTATTTAACCCCGGCATATAGACCGAGTTCGTGTCGGAATTAGAAATTTAATTGTGACAGCTGTCGAAAAATTATTACAGAATTTATCCATTTCAATCTATATGTAGGTGCTGAATAAGACTGACGAAGTTTTCGTCAGTTGAAATAGGTCTATTCCTTTCCCCATATGGTAATTTTGTATTATATATATATATATATATATATATATATATATATATATATATATATATATATATATATATATATATATATGCAGATTTCATTGAATGCACCTTGATTTAGTTTTTACACATTTTCTCATGTGATTTAACATTTTTTTCTTTTCGGTTGATAAATTATATAAAAACTGCCTAAATGTTCTTTTTAACCGAGCACTTTTGGATATACATTTAGCCATTTCCAAGGTTGAAATATTTTAACTGTTAAAGAAGAAATGCCTCGTCGATTTTAGTAATACTACTTTTAAAACTTCTGTTTCTAAAAAACAACTAATAAAGATTCTTGCCATCTTAGTTTCTCTAGTGAATGCTCTCTTAGATATAAAATAGGTGTTATTAAAAAAATTTTCGAGAGAGCGCACGAAAATTCACCCTCTCGCACGCTTTTCTTTAAAGAATTAAACAACGTAAAACAAACGCCTATTAATAATGGATTTCTTAAATCAATTGTTGGATTTCCATATTAGGCATTTTCTAATAGCAACGACCTGAATAGAAACATAAACAATAACATTAATATTTTTTATAAAAATCAAATGAACGAAAATTATAAACAAGACGAAAGTAGAATTAAGAACATTATAAAAAAATGGACAACACCAGTTGACAATAGCAAAAAAATTAGATTAATTATTTATTACAAAAAATTTAAAGCCTCTAAACTTATATTTAAAAATAATAATTCACCTCTTAGAACAAAATTAAATAGGACAAATATTATTTATGAATTTAAAATTCCCATTAAGGAATTGTATTCTTGATTAATCAAAATTCGTAAATAATTATATAGGCCATACTACAACATTTTTGACACAAAGACTCACTCTACACATTTCTGACCATAGCTCAATTAGATCTCATTTAAATATCAATGGAGACCTACCGGACACTATTCATAACATACTTGTTGACAACACTAATATAATAGCATCAGCTACATGAAAAAATAGCTAAAAATAATGGAAACCTTATTAATAAAAAACAAAAAATAACAAAAAAAAAAAAAACACTGAATAATATCGATTTTGAATATGGACACAGTATATTGACCGTGTTTTGAAAATGAAAACATATAAATACATACATGCAACAAACTATTTCTTATTTAACAGTTAAAATATTTCAACCTTGAATATGGCTAAATGTATAGCCGAAAGCGCTCGGATAAAAATAAACATTCGGACAGTTTTTATATAATTTATCATCTGAAAAAAAAAAAAAAAAGAAAAGAAAAAAATTATTAGATCGCCTGAGAAATTGTATAAAAAACTAAATCAAAGCACCTTGTCTGTCCTATTCAATGAAATGTGCATGAAAGATGGATCGCTACCTAAATACACAAACACACACACGCACACACATACACACACTCACACGCGCGCGCGCACACACACACACTCACACACACACACATATATATATGTGTGTGTGTGTGTGTGTGTGTATGTATGTATGGGGGAAACCATATAGAAATATTTTATATATATAATGAAAAGAGGAAGCACTTCATTGAGACATTTATATAAAGACATTGCTTTAATCGCTAGATCATCCATAGTAAATTTATGTTCTGATTCTGAGAACGTTTCATCTTTCTTGGCACATCTTCTATTATCGCAATGTCATCACAATTATCACATATTTTTTTTTTTTTAATTTCAACCTACACTCTCTTTCGTACGGATGGGTAATCACACCAACGTTAACCTCAAATTCATCCGATAAAACGCATCACCTGAATGTTTTTTTTTTATTTTATCAAAGATTGCCTTAATATTGTATGCGTACACACATACAAACACACACATATATTATATATAGGGGTGAAAAACTAGATATACTCTAATGAAAAATAAAACGTTCTACATTGATTATACCAACCTATCAATAATAAACATATTAGACCCTCAAATGTTCACGCTGTTTGTCCCATCGTTTACACACTTCTTTTTAGATACAAAACGTCATTATTATTATTATTATTATTATTATTAAAAACTCAAAATGATAAGAAATATGTTATAATAAAAATATTAAAAATGATTTTAATGAGTTCCCGTATTAAATGATTCCTAGTACCACTATTATTATACTAGTAATACTGGTATGATACGTATTGTATACCTACTTTTGCACAACCTGTATATATCAAATGATATGCCTATGTATTTAAATGAATGTAAATATATTATTTTCTTTTTTGTTTCGTTTTTAATATCAAACGTTACAGTGCTATGTCTCTGTGTTACACGTAACCGTAATACATTCTACTGTAACACATATTACAGCAACGTGCTTTGCTATAAAACCCTCTTATCGGTCGTTATAATACGTATTTTTTCCAAATTTGAAGTCCTATAATTTATTGGATCCTATGTGGGTTCTCCACTTGTCCTTGGCAAAAAGGCACTAGAGGGCGCTCATGAAGTCGATAAAAAAGCAATCATATTCTCTCCCCTTCTCTTTTTAACTCTTTTATCCAGATGTAGTCGAACGTAAAATAAAGCTGCCGACGGGTCGCGTTCTCTTCCTTGGTCCTCTGTTCACTTTTGAACTCTCTCACGCACGCACATACACACACGTATCTGTCATACACACAACCATATTCTCATATCTAGCTTTAATGCATATTCCTTTGATCTCAATTGGGTACACATTAAATTAATTTTGTTAATACACGCATATAATTGCCGTTTCTTATAATTTCATTGTTTTGTGTTACATATTTTACCCGGACTCACATAAAACCGCCAATATTGTTTGCTGGATAAAATGTTCCAGGAGCACATAAATACATATTATAAAACATCCATACACCTCACAAACAAAGAGGTGATACCCGCAACACATATTACATATGAATAACTACGCTATCCACTTGCTATAATATTTCTTCTAAATCAGAATATCTTCATTGTTTCCGGAACGAATTGGATCTGGGAATAATGTTCAGGAGATCCTTAATTCCAACATTTTGTGCATGTTGTCCATCTCTCTCGTCGTATCATTTATTATTGTGATATTGTATATTGATCTAATCGTGGTCTACCATAACTGATCGACTCGACAATGGAGTATCGTTCAGCAAACTGAAATCTGAAACATGGTCCTTCGCAAAACAAGTCAGATATGGTTCTTAATGTAGTATACGTTTTAAAATTTCCGAACAGAACTTTTTTTGGCAATTCAGTTGACTTTTTTTTAATTCAGGACGTAGGTGATCATGGCTCCCCACAGATTTCTTTTCTTTATTATCTGTGAATTACAGTGGAGTGGTATCTTGGCGCCTACACCGTTTTAAATTCAGTCGGTTTGAATTTAGTAGA